CAGTAGGCAGTAGTGGATCTTATTCCATTTACAACTTAAAGACAAAAAGCAATAGGTATATTACAGTATGGCACAGTTTCTGTAAAGAGATTGTTCCTAGTGTCTGTCATATTGGAGGTTAGTTGAGTTTTCTGCCCTCCTAAACATGTTTTAATATTTATAATCTTGTTTTTCTTTTTTTGTTTTGTCTTCCTTCATTGCATATATACCCGTATGTGTACCAAATATGAATGTGTACCAAAATAGGTTGAATGTCATTTTTGTCTATGATGATATATTTCCTTACCATGAGTTTGTTCATTTTAAGTGACAACTCAGGCTGACAAATATCCTTTTTTTACCATTAGCAGTTGGGCTCATTAGACCATCCTGTCTAGAGGCTGAGAGTAGGGAGAGGGAAGATCAGCAATATATGTCATGTTTCCATAAATAGCTTTCTGTGTGAGTGGTTGTGTGGTATATTTTTTAAAGCTAACATAAAAATCAGTGAGTAATTTAAGCAGTAGGGACTGGCTTTAACTGCAGCAAATAAACCAGTGCAGCTAGGATCCTCAGGGAGGACTTTCTTCTGAGCCCACAAGTAGATTTCTGGTGAATGAGTTCTAATTTATTTTGTTGTTGTTGTTGTTGTTGTTGTTGTTGTTGTTTAATCCAAGGAAGGAAACCTTTAAAATTATAGCACAGGGAAAGATCTCCTTTTTCAAAAGATGTACCAGGTCGATAAACAATAAAATGTAAGGTGCAAGTAAAGCCACATTTTTCCCAAAGTGAGATCTCAGATGCAAGTTCTAAAAACTTATTGGACCCTATGCGTATTTATTGGTAGAGTATTAGGATTCCGAATCTTGTTAGTTACTACCTGGGAAATTCTCAAACAAGGTAAAGTGCCTTAGGAATACATACTAGTGAATATGAACATACATTTCTGCACCCACCTTACAGCTGAGCTGTTTCTTCAAGAATTCAGTGAAGCTATCTGGAATCATAACTGCCAAGCCCAGCAGAAATTCACCTGCGCTGGAGTGCAGGATTTTGTGTGGCAATAAGCATTTTTAATTAAAAGTTTCCTGGATGATTTGGGACTGAATCTGTAAACACATGGCAGATTGAGCTAGCACATCCAAGCACCACTGGCACTTTGGGAGAAATATGGCTTTTAAAAAAATTGAATGGTGAAGCTGAGAAAAATCCAGCTGTGTTTTACTTAACATCACACTAATCAGAGTTCTTTGGCTCCTTTTTTTTTTTTTTTTCTTCTATCAGTGTATCCAGTGGTGTGTGTATTGGCTCCCCATCCCCCAACCCTTCACTTTTGTCTTCTAAGACTGATTTAAGATAGGGATATGGGTTAAAGCAATGAAATACTTACTCACCATAGTGAGTAATTGAAGGCTTCTCTTGTAGTTTATCTCTTAAATAGGTCAGAAGCAGCAGGTAATCTTCATCACCAAAGCAATTACATTTTTAACCCTTACCCATCACCTTGCTGGAGGCCTTGGAGTTTACGTAGCAATCAAGGTTGTTTGCTGACCTTAAAACAAAAATGTAAAGAATACGGTGTTCCTTAATTGAAAGTAAAATTGCTTCTGGAAAGCAGTTTCCCAATTAAACCAAGAAACAATTATATTGGAGCCCTGAATGATTCTTACTTAGTGTTTGGGATGATGGGGATTGGAGGCAGACGTGCAGGAGTTGGGAAGAGAACTCTGGCTAGTAGTCAAGAGATTCACAGGGTCCACGTTCAAGGGTAGGTTCCTTGATGAAGGCCATCGTCAGACTGGATTGGGAAAAATGGCCTTAAACTCCAATTATCCTCAGTAAATCCACCTTCTACTTTACATTATAGAAGTAAGCTGCTGTGCTGTACAGGGTTCTTAAAACTCTCTAGTTAGCAGAGCTAAGAAAAATCAATTCCCATGAAGGTACAGGAGGAGATAAACATGATTTAGAGGGGATGTGAGTTACTAATGCTATTACATAAAACTATTTGCCTGATAATACCTCCCCCCGACCATCTCAAGCCATTCCCAGGCTGCTTCATCTTCCTGTTTACTGTAATCCTGCTTCTCTGGGAATTACTTCTATCTTCCCAGAGACATTTTTCCCAATACAGGAAGGGCTTGCTTATTTATTCAGTAGTAATGTTGAACATACTAGTGACTTCGGTGTTCAGTTCATGGGTGTGAGGGTGTAAGTGTGTGTATACACACATACCTACATGCTGAACAATAGGAGATTCTGAACTACAAATTAATCATTGCAATTTCAATAACTAGGAGAAGTTTTGGATTCTCCTTCCAGATGTCTTGGTTGTAATATCTGTTGATGGCTGCGTTTGGAAGTTAGACATAAGCATCAAAATGAAATTTGTTCAGCATTGGAAAAACAGTAAATAAGGATTTTTATCCAGCTCTCTCTTTTAAAAAAAAAAATGTGTAGTCCAGATAAGTTAATAAAAAATAATACCTGGGAACATTAAACTAGGGTAAATACTGCAAAGGAAATAGAACAGATGTGAGAGAAAGATTGTTCTCACAAGTAGGATGTAGCAAATGCCTTCTAGTGGAGGGCAGGGAATCATGGAGGAGACGAGCCAAAGCTCAGGTTTGTCCCTACATTAAGAGATTCTCTTCCACCCGCAGAGTTGCCTGTTTTTTCCCAACGGCCTCTGACTTTGAGAAACTGTTACTAAAAATGAGTAGAGACATTGCCATTCCTTCCTTCCTGTCTTAAAATGGTCACGTTCACAGAGCACGCTCCCGAGTCCTTCAAACCGCAGCTTCTCCCTGCTGCCTCCCAGCCCTACTCTCCTTCTAGGCAGAGCGCCATGGCAACAGGCCCAGCCTAGAGCCCAGCACCTTGTTTGTGTTACCTGAGGGGCTGGCCGGCTGCAGCCTGAGGAAGAGAGGGAGGAATATTACCTATTCTGCAGCCTCTTTGGAAGGTGACTTCATGTTCCCTTTTTGGGTTTCTGTTCAACTTCTGTTGGAGACTTGAAATTACACCTGGAAAACGTTTACCCAAAGATGTTCTCAGTCCCCGAAGGCAGCAGGGAAAGTCTGTTCTGTTGGCTCTTGGCTGCTAAGCAGAGGGTTGCTTTCTGAGGAGGCACACAGAGTGCCTCCCGACGCGGGACATGCGGCTCCGCTATGGTTTGGGGCTGCGCCGCCACGTGGCTGTACCGTTGCTTCATTAGGTAGGCGTTTATTTTGTTGAAAATCAAATTAATTTCTGTTTGAGGATATTTGCCTTGCGAATTTAACAAATAAAAGCAAGCCCTCTGCTGTACCTGCTTCGATTTCAAATAGGCCTCCGTCTTTCCTACCGGGAGGCTCACTCCCTGAGCATGAGCGGCTTTTCCCTTCCAGACAACTCCTGGGAAAAATGGGCTGGAGTGACTGTTGGATATGTGTTTGTAAAAACATTACAGTATCCTGTTAACTCCACTGGCTTCCTATGAAACATACTGGGAAAGGTTAGATGGTAATTATGTGGAAGTAAAAATTTTTTGTAGCATTTAGTTATTTACAGTGGTGGGGCTGGGTTTGCGGTTTATAACATGTCATTGTCTTACCCGAGAGAGCAGGAGGAAAGAAATGTCACCTTGTTATATTCTTATGTACAGAACATTCAGTGGCATTTGTCCCTTTCATACATGCTTTGTATTATCCATGGGAAATAGACATAGTGGCTTTTTGACCTTAGAAATGCTGCTGAGTGTCAGAACACATGTTTTTCAGTGTAAACATGAAATGGTACTTGTTTTTCATGCGTGTAGAAAGAAGAATGGATGCAAATTCTTACTGCTCGAGATGTTTCTTCCTATCTGGAGCTTGATGAAATAATGAGAATGGAAACAAAAGGGAAAGAGCAGCCTTGAGTGCGAGCTTCCTCTAACTTACTGCTTTATAATGTAATCGAAAGCCACTCTGATATTAATGTTAATGTAGTCGTTTCAAGGAAATAAATGAAGCTCTTTATTCAGTGTGTTTTACAAAAATGAATGTCTTTACACAAGACATTTCTTTTTATCCGTACTACTGGGTACTTCTACTCAAAACACATATATTTAACTCTGGGTGTTTTAGTCAATAAATTCTATAATTATTGAGTAAAACCACTTGGCTATCTAGTTCTGGATCCAAGAATATTTTACTTTATATCGCTTGACTTCATTAATACTTCCCAAGCTTGAAGGGCAGCGAGGGACTAGCTCCTGTCATGACCGGAGTCATTCCCAACATTCTTTTTTAAACAACTGAGAAACAGAATCAGTCAGGGTGCCTGAATGGTGTTGACAAAGATTTGTTCTTCTAGATGAGAGTTTGAACATTTCTTTTGAGAGTGGGAGGTTTCTTCAAGGCATTTTATTCTTTATTCATGTTTATACAGTAAAGCATGGATATAACCAAATGCTTGCCAAAAAAGAATTCCACATTGAGATGGAAATCAGATCTTTTGAAAGGCAGGGTCTTGTGCTGAAAAGTTTGGTTTTGACTGTGTGTGTGAATGTGTTTATTCTGCCAAAAACAGAATGAGGGTTCACCCACTACTATTTCATCAAGGAGAGAAGAGGTTCAAGCTATGACAATAAAAAAAGAAAGAAAGAAAACAACTTTTGATAATACCTTTGCCTGAAAAAAGAATATGTAAGCTACCTTGAATAGTATGTATTTCTTCATCTTCAAGATAGGAATGAGGATAAAAACAATGTTTGTAGTGGAGTTTTTTGAACTCCCTTGAGACTGGTAAAGTTATAATATATTTTTATATTGTACTGAAAAAGTGTGTGTATGTATACACATACAAATATGTATGTGGTTTATATGTGCCATGTGAATATGGCTACTGTGATTATCATGGATTAACTATTAATTTGCCCCTTATTTACATTTCCCTTGGGAATTTATACATTTGTTGTTAACCTCCAGTGCATCAGTCCTTCATTTTCTTGTTGGCCAAGAAGTTACACGGTCTAAAATATCTTTTTCTACTTTTAGGGCTCGAGGTCTGCCTAAACTAAAAGAGTCACGTTCCCATGAGTCCTTGCTGAGCCCTTGCAGTGCGGTGGAATGTCTGGATCTAGGCAGAGGAGAGCCTGTATCAGTGAAACCACTCCATAGTAGCATCCTTGGGCAAGACTTCTGCTTTGAGGTAAAAAGCATAGAAAGAAGGAAGAGAGGTTAACTAAACAGATTTTCTAGTAATTTTATGATTTCTTTACTGTGGGTGGTATCAATGATTTGATCATCTTAAGTGACTTTCACTTGCTGAAAATTGCCTACTTTTAGGAAGAAAGTTGGAAATCTATTAATCTAATTATATTGGTCGTTACAGTTATTGATAGTTTTTCATTCCTTTTGGCCTAGTCTGCTTTCAAAATAATGGGTTCTTATTATATTCTCGGCAGAGGTCACAGGTCTAACATTAATTTACTAAGTTATTATTTTCATTTTTTAGGTTTTTTTCCCTTTTTAAATTTTTTTATTCTTTCATTTATTTTTTCTTAGGTTCAGTAATTTTTTAGTTTTGATAAAAATACCACCCACTGTGTATCTTTCTCCTGAAAACCTAAGCCCCCAATTTTAATGATTCTTTGAGAAGATTAACCAAAATCATAATTTTTCTAAGTACAACCTCGGCAGTTCAAGATCTGAGACCTTGTCTTATTTATTTTTATAATCCCCTGCACACAGCCCAGTCCCTGGCACATTGCAGGTGCCTGATTTCTTGAATGAATAAATTGCTCTTCACCAATAAATTATGACCATCACTTTTTCTTTAGAGGGAGGTAATTTCTCCCTCTAAAATTAAATGTACACAATTGACCAATTTTGTAATTTAAAGTTTAAAACTACATATATAGGGGTGCCTGGGTGGCTCAGTGGGTTAAAGCCTCTGCCTTCGGCTCAGGTCATGATCCCGGGGTCCTGGGATCGAGCCCCGTGTCCGGCTTTCTGCTCAGCAGGGAGCCTGCTTCCCTTCCTCTCTCTCTTCCTGCCTCTCTGCCTACTTGTGATCTCTGTCTGTCAAATAAATAAATAAAAATCTTTAATAAAAAAACTACATATATATAAACATATCCATATATATTTTATATTACATATATTATATATATGTATGTATAATTGTTCAGATTAAGATTTGATTAATTAGAGTGAACTTACTAAGTGACTAATATGAATGCTGTGATAGATGGTGTAGAAGTTGAAAGGTGTTTGATTCCTGTTCTTATGGATCCACCCTATCCAACAGAAACATAAACTAACCAAATATGAAATCTAAAATCTAAAATTTTATTAAACCCAAGTATCATTTTAACATGTAACTAATATAAAATTATCAGTGAGGTTTTTTATATCCTTTTTGTTTTTTAAGCTAAGTATTCAAAATGTGTACGTGATGTGTATGTTATATTTACAATACATTTCGTTTTGGACTAGCTGCCTTTCAGGGGTTCACTTAGCCACACATGGCTAGTAGCTACCATATTGAACAGCATGCATAATCTGATCTCATTCGCTAGGTTGTAACTGTGGATTGAATTAATATGTGAGCACATTCAAACTATTTGGACAGGCCATTTATTGGTGTTCTTTTTTTACCAAAGTCATGTGAATTTTCCCCTATTTGTGGACCTCAGTTCAACAGGCTGCATACCAGGCCCAGTGTTAGGTTCTAAGTATATAGAGAGCATGTCCATTTTTAAAGGACAGTGATAATAGTGATCAATAACTGGAAATGAACAAGCTGGTTGCCTAGTGGAGGAGAAATGGGTTCCAAAGACATTAATTCAGTTTCTCACTTTCATAGAATACCCTTTCTGTAATATTATAGTGAAGGCAGTTCCAAGAAATTTGATAAGCTATTGTAGAGGCTCTCTTGCATTTTCAGTTATATCGAGCATATTTGTTCACATGTATTTGAAGATGTGGCCTGGAAGGTTCTTAATATTGATCTTTCTGAACTGAAGGCCAATTTTAGGTTCTGACCTGACTTCTCAGTGGCTTTTGTTCTCCTACCTGGAAATGAGTGTGAATGCTCACTCCAATGAGAGAAAAAAAACAGATGCAGATGTAGAATAGAGACGTCATGGAACCACCAAGTATCATTTTGGTTTTGTACGTTATGATTTGGGTTCATAGCATATTTGTAACTCATAAGGATAGAATGACAAAGATAGAGCCCCCAAATCCTGTTTCCTTTTCCTTATCTCTAATCTTTATGTTGAAGGTTACATATTTAAGTGGAAGTAAATGCTTCAGCTGTAACTCCGCTTCAGAGAGAGATAAGTGGATGGAAAACCTTCGTAGGACAGTTCAACCAAATAAGGTAATAGTGGCTTTGAGTATCTAAAAAATGTATATCTCTGTAAGCAATAAGTTGATAGAAGGTAAATGCGGCAATCACACCTTAATTTTTATTTACATGTTATGCCATTTTACACTCAAAATAATCTTATTGCAGATATTATTGTGATTTTACCCGTGTGGGTAAGAAGACTCACAAGTTACATGACGAGCCCAGGTGAGAAGCTGGTGCATGACAGAAGTGGGACTAGAACACTAGTTTCTTAACTACTTATCTCTTCTTTTATTTGCAGAAACTGGGCCAGTTGCCACTAGGCTGGCTTTTTAGAACTTACATTACAGGATATTTTCTTAACCCAAGTAAATTGACTGTATGAGGCTAAGATTCTGATATCTTCTTATTTAGAGCTTGCTATTTTCCTGACCAAAGAGAAAGCAATCCCTTTCATTATTTAATGACTGCCCTTAATAAAGTGCATGGTCAATATCACCTACTTTAAAAGGAAAATGTTTTTCTGGGACTTCAACTTTCCAACGCAACTTTGTTGCTTTTTTATAGGACAATTGCAGACGAGCTGAAAATGTTCTTCGTTTGTGGATCATTGAAGCCAAGGACCTTGCCCCTAAAAAGAAATATTTCTGTGAACTGTGCCTTGATGATACCCTCTTTGCTCGTACAACCAGCAAGACCAAAGCAGATAATATTTTCTGGGGTGAACATTTTGAATTCTACAGCCTTCCACCTCTTCATAGCATCACAGTTCACATTTATAAAGATGTGGAAAAAAAGAAAAAAAAAGACAAGAATAATTATGTAGGACTAGTCAACATTCCCACTGCCAGTGTGACTGGTCGCCAATTTGTAGAAAAATGGTACCCAGTAAGTACCCCTACACCCAACAAAGGAAAGACAGGAGGACCTTCTATTCGAATTAAATCACGTTTCCAAACTATCACCATTCTGCCTATGGAGCAATACAAAGAATTTGCAGAATTTGTCACCAGCAACTACACCATGCTGTGTTCTGTCCTTGAACCAGTAATCAGTGTGAGAAATAAAGAGGAGTTGGCCTGTGCCTTAGTGCACATTCTTCAAAGTACTGGCAGAGCCAAGGTAAGTGAAAGAGGAGGGTTACATTACCCAACATCTCTTCCTTTTTATGAAGAAGTATATATACTATGTTTCATGCAGAGATCTAAATTGGAGAAGGATGCTTTGCTAGTGATTAAAAAAAAAAAAAAAAAATTAGGAAGGAAGCCTGTTAGTAGTAGTAGTATATCCAGGGATTGGGGATTATAAAACCAAGAAGTAACATGGAGAAACCAGCAGATATTTATTTTAAAGCTATTCCTTAAGAGCTTTATTTCTCTTTATGCCTTTTTTCTGGGTGAATGTATATATAGATGGATGAGGATTGATAGATGAATAGATAGATAGACAGATAATCAGCCTAGAAGATGAGTTCAAGTGTTAAGTTTAAGAAATTCCATGTTGACAGCATGGACCAGTTTATAACTCTGATATATTGAGCACCTTATATGTACCAGAAACTAATAGTGAAGATCTAGAAATGACTAAAAATAGACACTGTCTTCAGCCTCATGGGGTTTATGGTCTTCTGGGGAAAACAGATAATAATCAAGTTCTTACAGAAGCAAATGTGTGATTACAGTGAGAAATGCAGAGAAAAAAATAAATATGAGACTGTGAGAGTGGGGAATAGGAGACCTGACTGATGCTGGTTCAGAGAAGGCCTCACTGAGGAAATGAGGTACAAACTAGGATCAAAGGATTTGAGGAATTAACTCCATGAGAGTGAGGGGAGGAGCGAGGGTAGGAGTGAGGCAGAACTGGGAACAGCATTTGGGAAGCTTTGTGGTTAATAGATAGCATCCTATGTTAGAAGGGGTTTGGTGGTGTCTGAGGGCCTTAAGAGAAGCCCCTTGTGGCTAGAATGGAGTGCAGAGAGAATGGATACCCACAAGGATGCTGGGAAGGTGGACGAAAACCAGAAAATAGAGGAACTTATGGGCCGCATATAAAAGTATGGTCTTTATCAGAAGTATGATGGAAAACCTTTGGCGGAATTTTAAACCTATGGCCGGTGATACCTAAGCTTTTATTCCAATTGACTTTTTTTCTTTCAAATGAATCACGCAGCTTTAGTCTTAAAGCAGCATTCTCAAGATGTCTGATATTTCATCAGTTTCTTGTAGCGCATATTATTTATTCATTTGCTTTGTGCCTGATTGAACATTTTTCACCAGGATTTTCTCACCGACTTAGTGATGTCCGAAGTGGATCGCTGTGGAGAGCACGACGTCTTGATTTTCAGAGAGAACACCATTGCCACCAAATCTATTGAGGAGTACCTCAAGTTGGTGGGACAGCAGTATCTTCACGATGCACTGGGTATGGAGAAGAAGCACATTGTTTTCTTTGCTTTTCAGTTTTGTTATTTCAGTTTTGTTATTTCACCCTCATAGGACAAACAAATTGAACTCAAATTCAGCATTTTGCTAAGTTCTAGCTGACTAGAGTGTTAAAGTTTGAGTTCCAGCTGTAAGTTTCTCTGTAGTAGTACTCACAGGTGGTACTGCTTTATTACATGTTGCTTTATTCCAATATGTACAGAAGGAGAAAGCTCATCAGCATATGCAGCTACCCCCAGGGCCCTAAGTTCCTGACACTAAGACACTCAATATAAGTGGATGTCACTACTAGATCTGAGGGTACCTGTTCCCCCCGAAGTATTGACGATTTACATTAGGATATAAATATATTACCTAAATCTTGAAAGTGTTTAACATTTGTTATCACGCATCAAAAGTTAAAAAATTTTGCCAGTTCCCTTAACTCCCAATTTCTGCCTTCAGGATCACTAGAATTTTGCCCAATCAGTAGTTCTTTTTTTTTTTTTTTTTTTTAGATTTTTTGTTGTTTGTTTGTTTATTTACTTGACAGAGATCACAAGTAGGCAGAGAAGCAGACAGAGAGAGAGGAAGGGAAGCAGGCTCCCCGCTGAGCAGAGAGCCCAATATGGGGCTCGATCTCAGGACCCTGGGATCATGACCTGAGCCGAAGGCAGAGGCTTTAACCCACTGAGCCACCCAGGGGCCCCCCATTCGGTAGTTCTTGCTGACTAGGCCACTGACCTGGAATTCCAGATCTGGTCATGAAATTCAGGCATTAAAACCACTAGAGTAATGCACTGTGCTGGGTGACATACATCATGACATTGAGTTTCTTGAAGAACATAGTCATTTCTTTTATCTTTGTATCCCTAGTATTTCCCACAGAATGTAGAGCAGCACCATCATACACAAACATAATATGAGTCACATGTGAGTAATTTAAATTCCTGGGAGGTCACAGTATAAAAAGGGTAAAGAGAAACAGGTAAAATTAATTTTAATAACATTATACTTAACCCAGTATATCCAAATATTATTTAGCTGGTTATCAGTATAAAAATTATTAGTGAGGCACATTACTTTTTTTCATGCAAACTCTTTAAAATTTGGTTTGTGTTTCACATTTGTTACATATTCCAGTTTGCACTAGCCCCATTTCAAGTGCTCAGTAGTCACATGTGATGGTTAAGAGTAGACAGTAAGTTATGTTGAATGAATAGACAGATTTTTGCTCTCAAGGAGTTTATAAAATGGGGAGATAAGGTAAGGGTATCCCTATAAAAAGAGAGAGGAGGGGGATCCTGTGTTTTTCCAAAGAATTAATTCTAGCTGATGGAATTTCCCATGTAAGATATATAAACAGTATGTGTGTAGCTTAAAGAATTAGAAGGGTTATATAGAAACAGATATTGGACAAGGAAAGTAGTAGGAATTAGCATAGGGAAAGAACCATAGGGACAAAAAGACATAAAGGTATGAGAGAACCAGACATGTATGAAATTAAAATTAATAAAATTAATTAGCTGAAAAATGAAATGAAACAGACAAGTCAACAACAATAACAAAGATTAGAAAAACAATGAGAACCAATTTTTTGAGAGCCTTGAATGCCAGGCTGAAGAGTTCAGATTTTACAGTAATCACTGCTGAGCCACTGCAAGTCCTGAGCAGGGTATTGTCAATAGAATTAGTTTAACAAAATGATTAACATGTGTTGGTGAAGAAAGCGACTGAAAACAGAGACCAGTTAAGAAGCCATTGTAAGAAGGAAGGCCAAAAATCAGGAGCCTCTGAATGATGGGATCACTAAGAGTAAGAGGAAAGGGGGGTCTGAGAAATATTAAAGAAGTTGAGCTGATGGGACATGGCAACTTGTCAATTTGTGAGAATGGGCCAGAGCAGGCGGTGGAGACCAGATACTATGATGAATGTTGAGCATTGAGTTACTAGAAGAGTGATGCGATTCTTGACAGAAATAAAGAACATAGAAGTAGTAGGCTTGAGAGATGAAAAGTGAATATTTCCACTTTGTAAGTATTCAATTTGAAGTTCTAATAGGAAATCCCAGGGGTTCTAGGTGAGAAATTCCAAGACATCTGTCTGGGTGTCTCTTGGAAATTTTGGACCAAGTTACCTATGTGGAGGGATAAGTGAAGCTACAGATCTTCCAGTCCACCTAGGTTTATGGTACAGATGGAAGGAAGAGGGGGAACAGGAAGTGATCACAAAGAGAAAGCACACATGCACACATGGAAACCAAGAAAACCAAGAAAATAGTTCTAGACACCGAAAGACACGAAAACATCGATAAAGTCAGAGATTGAGGAAGGCAGAGATTAAAAAGAAAAAAACTATTGCATTTGGCAACTTAAAGATCACTGGTGGTGGCTGGGACTGCTGTCGGGAGGATAGGAACCAGGTTGTACGGGGTGTGATGTGAATGACTGCCAAAGAAATGAGCCCACTGTGTTTACATGAAGTGGACTCACTGTAGTAGTGATTAATTCCTACTCTGCAGAAGTAAATTTTTTCTCTTCCTTCTTCCTAGCTTCATATTCTTTTCTCTAAGTCATGTGCTTTAGTTTAAGATATAATGGGAATTTGTAAGAATAGTGAAAGTGGATTTTCACTGATACTGGGAAAGTTACAGAGAGGTTCATAGTCTCACCTAAAGAGCTTATTACAGTCATGTAAAGTATATCTCATGGCTTGCTTTAATTGTATTGCCTTATAAAAGGCAATGATGAAACATCTCAAATCGTAGTCTCCATTCTGTGGATGTAGGGGTAAATAATGTGTTTACTAACTACCTACTTCTTAAAAATCAAAATCTGTGTTCTGCCATTCAGTGTACTAATACACAGGATTTCCAAATAAATAATTTCCAAAGTGAAAAGTGGATGCAAGTGCTATGATATGAGAGAGAATAATTAAATAGCTGATGGGCTAAATGAGACATGAAAATTCAGTGACCATGAGAAGAAACTCAAATAACCCCACATAGATCTCTATTATCATATTTATAACCCAAGAGCAGTGACCAGGGTAGTGAAAATGGCTGCTGCTTCCAAAACCATAAACAAAATAAAGTGGTAAGATGCTTCAGAATGGAGATTCTACAGTCGTCTTCCTGCTTAAGTTCCCAATTTCTAGTTAGCCTTAACATCCTAGATGCTCAATGGCTGACTCTTCTCCCATATTTTACTTTTCTGACAGAAACGCTCTTTTGAAAACAATTAATAGTGTCTTGGAGCCAGTGTAAACTCAGACTGATTTTATATGGTTTGAGATAGTAATGTGATTTTTCAAATAGAAACCCTGAAGAACTGCACAATTTTCAGTTACCTGAGAAAAATTCAATTATTTTCATATGAAACTGTACTTACTGTGGCAGGATCCTCTAATACTACAATTGAGAAAGGTTTTATAATAATTATTCTATAAAGAGGCTTCACAGTGAAGTCTCAGTAAACCAAAAAATTAATAAGGACAGCTGAACACTCAGTATAATTAAAGTTTAGTTATATTTCATACACTTTGGGCAAAAAAAAATAGATACTATTTCCAGGCTGCCTGAAGAATTCCAGAGAAAATTTAGTTCAAAGTTGCCATTTTGGCCACCTGGGTGGCTCAGTCAGTTAAGCATCTGCCTTCGGCTTAGGTCATGATCCCAGAGTCCAAGGATCGAGCCCTACCCTGCTCACGGAGAGCCTGCTTCTCCCTCCCTCTGCCTGTTGCTCTGCCTACTTGTGCTATCTCTCTGTCAATTCAATAAATAAAATCTTTAAAAAAAAAAAAAAGAAAGGAAGAAAGAAAGAAAAGAACTAGGCTGAACCTTGAGAGATATAAGCAGATTTGAAGGGATCATTGCAAAATCCACTCCTCTGTCATAAAGACCTCTAAAAACCTAAGAATACATACAATCATCTCTGGTAAATATCGAGCATCTTCAGTGCTTTGGGAGCTATTTGATAGGCTGGAAATTCAAGCATGAATTGAAGCTGGCCTCTGACCCCCAAGGGTATTTATCCCAGAGACGTGACCATGGGACAGACATGTGAACAGATAATCCCCCACAGCGTGAGACATGGAACACTAGAACATACATAAGGTATAGTGAATAGTGGAGGATGAACAGGGAAGGTAAGGATTTGTTCTTTTAGGGAATGTGGGCATATCTCTCTAGAGGAGGGAGTATATGAACAGTGCTTCTAAACTAAATTTCTTTGGACAAACATATGAAGAAATGTTCTGCTACAATTTTGTGCTCTGATGAGGGTCTGTCCCCTTCACAAGACGTAAGTCTAGAGACCGTTACTCGAATCTGTGTTTGGCACCAGCTTTAGCACTAAACACTTACGTTGGCTGTTCGATCAAGCTTGGGTTCTTTTTTCTTCTAAAATAACGTTATTCACCCTGGTAGAAGGGCCTTGTAACAAATAATGAGTTCCTGCTAATAAAATATATTCATGGTTTTAGAGAATAGATTTAAAGTCATATCGTTGTTTAAAGTAGTATCATTCTTATATTTATAAATACCATGATGGTGATGTTACTTACTGCAGTTTTTCCACTTCCAGGATGAGGAAAATAAACATGGCATATGGGAGGCAGCAACCCTTGGGTTCTAAAGCGATAACAATCCTTTGTGCCCTCCACATGAGGTCTCGGAAAGAAATTCCCATTCTACATTAAGGACAGAAATCCAGAATCCTTTTATTCTGTTCAGGAGGACACTCTTCATAGTTGTACTACTTGTCATCTTCTCTCTTCAAACAGGGGAGTTCATCAAAGCTTTGTACGAGTCCGATGAGAACTGTGAAGTAGATCCCAGCAAGTGTTCCTCAAGCGAACTGATAGACCATCAGAGCAACCTGAAGATGTGCTGTGAGCTGGCTTTCTGCAAGATCATCAACTCCTACTGGTGAGCAGGTGTCCTCACATTAGCCCCTGCTCGTGGAGCTCAGCGCCCTCCATGCGGAAGTCATCGCAGTGCTAACGGTAGCCTTTCCCAGCCAAAGGAAGGGCTTGGGGGAAGATGGAAGGTTTCCCTGATGGAGTCCCTTCTCTAAAATCCAAATCCCCACTGTAAGCAGCAGTACCTGCATAAATAGAGTATTTCCCCAGACTATTAGCACCACATCCTCTAATACCAAAAGTATTTGAGTGGCTTTCTAAAATATTTACTAGTGTTAAACAGTTGTGTTAATGATCTTTGCATTGCTCCAGCCCCAGCGATTGGTGAGATTTTGGAAGAGTTTTGCTGAACACTCTTTAGAGAGATTATGGTATGCTCTGTTAAACCAGATGGTTTAGTCAGGAGCCTCATGCCATTTTCCCACTTTGCAAAACTAAATTTACACTAATCCCTGAGTTTTGTAGCTTTGGGTTTACAGGCTCCATCTGGACTTTGGTCAATTTTCCACCAACTGTAAGCTATGAATCAGGCAGAATTCTCTCTACTAAGCTCTCATCTCAGTCTGGCTCTAGAGCAGAGGCGTGCTGGGCCAGAATGGGATCACTTGTGTTTTCTTGCATTATGCTACTTTCATATTTAGAGGTTTGATCTTTTTCCTTCCCCAGCGTTTTCCCTCGTGAGTTGAAAGAAGTGTTTGCATCATGGAAGCAGCAGTGCCTGACCCGCGGCAAGCAGGACATCAGTGAGCGGCTCATCAGTGCCTCATTGTTTCTCCGTTTCCTGTGCCCCGCCATCATGTCCCCCAGTCTCTTCAACCTTATGCAGGAGTATCCTGATGACCGCACATCTCGTACCCTGACTCTGATTGCCAAGGTCATTCAGAATCTGGCTAACTTTGCCAAGTAGGTGTCACTACCAGAAGCACTTTTTAAAAAACATTGTTTTAAAAAATACGTGACACCTAAAAGTTTGGATGGGAGTGGGGAGCCTCATTACTCATAGTACAAGATTTTCATTGTGGTGGTATTAAAAAAAGGAAAAAAGAAGGAAACAGCTTAATTATTCATTTTAAAGGAGTGATTAAATAGCCCATGGTACGTACGTTCAGTAGAATATATCCAGTAATATGGTAAATGATGAAGATATAATTGTACTCAATGAAAAGTGCTTTAAACTTCAGCAGAAATGAAAAAGGATACTAGAAAATATATATATGCTGTTATTCCAGAAATATGTTAAAACAAAAACCTAAGTATAAAAACCATCTGACAAACTCAGTGTTTACATTATCTAAGACAATTGACCTGGGCCCTTCAGAAAAAGTCAATGTCATGAAAAATTGAAAAGATGGAGAGGGACTTTTCTATATTTAAAAACACTGGATGCTTAAACCTTGATTGGATCTGAATTAGAAAAAAATCTATAAAAGTCATTTTGGGGACAATTAAATGTGGACTATATATAAGATGATTTATGGATAATGATTTTTTTAAAGTTTTAGTGTGATAATGGCATTGGTTTATGTAAGAGATATTCCTTATTCTGGAGAAATGGGCACTAATGTATTTAGAGTTTATGTCTGCAACTTAGTTTAAAATGGTTCAGCCAAAAAAAAAAAGTGTGTGTAAAGAGAGAAAGTGAAAGCAAACTTGGCACAATGTTATCAGTTGATTAATATAGATGAATGCATATGGTTGTTTGTTATATAGTCTTTCAGCTTTTCTATAGATTTAAAATTTTTTGAAAGGAAGTTACGAAACCATTGGGGAGGAAATGCACTCAAATTATAAACAGCGGATACATTTGGGTGACAGAGTGTGTCCACTCACACCTTTTTCTTGCCGCTTTTCATTGTTTCTAAAAAGACAAGATTCTGTATTTGCAGTGTATTGAAGAAAAAAATTAGAACTTCGGTGAGACAGATTGTTTTCTAGCATAAATAGTGACTTTTTAGTATAAATAGTGACTTCTAGAAGTGCACTATTTGAACTTCGTGTACCCTATTTAAGAGCCAACAAAGAAATAGACCTATTTACCCATATTTATGTTAATTCTGATAAAAATTATTTCTAGTTTATTTTAGAAGAAGTTTTCTGGGCTTAAGCAAGGCCCTGAAAATACCTAGACTTTAGATAGACAAAGATGAGAAGTTCTTCTGTAGCAAAAATAAATAGCATGAGCAAAGTCTTGGAGAAGGGGTATATATTTGGGAGACTCTGAAGAAGCTAGCAATATTGAAGGTTTATACTCATTAGCATTTGGTAGGCAAATGGAGGTTATTTACAGAGAGCTTTAAATAACAGAAAAAAAAGAGATTTAGCTTTAGCCAACGGAGAATAGAAAGTTATGCAAAGTGTTTGAGTTTTACATCAGTATTAAGAAAGTATATTTTAGCATTTAGCACTTAAAGATTATAAATTAGTCACTTACCTCCCCAACATAAAGATAAAAAACTGGGTACATGATGAGATGAGCACTGGGTGTTATATGCAACTGATGAATCATGAACACTACATCTGAAACTAATGAGGTACTCTATGTTGGCTAATTGAACTTAAATTTAAAAAATTAAATTAAAAAAATAATTTAAAGTTCAATGTAAAGTCAACTCAAACATCTCAAACATGTCCTTTCCCATTTTCTCTCCCTCTACCTCAGATTTGGTAACAAAGAAGAATACATGGCATTCATGAATGATTTTTTAGAACATGAATGGGGTGGAATGAAGCGCTTTCTTTTGGAGATCTCTAATCCAGACACCATCTCAAACACCCCAGGCTTTGATGGTTACATTGATCTGGGCCGAGAGCTTTCAGTTTTGCATTCCTTACTGTGGGAAGTAGTTTCCCAACTTGATAAGGTAAAGTAGGTTGGAAGCATAATGGGACCTGGGAGTTAGAAAACTTTAACGTACCTAAATTCTGAAGGGTATCTACAGAGTGACAGCATTCGTGCTTTCTGCTAGTTGAAAGCAGCCTTTTTGTGCTAGAAGTCTGGGAATAAGTAGTTACCAATTCTGAGTAAATAATGTGTCCTACAAACCAAGAAATTCTAGAAGGCCATGAAATTATTAACATATATTTTAAGTAATTATTTGAATTAATGGTGTGTATATTTCTATAAATAAATAATGTATAGAACATTATATATAACATGTCTAAAAGCTTGCCTAGAAACCAACATAAACATTGCTAAATGCATATTTATTCATGTATATCAGGATAAGATGATGAAACCTCATATAATAATTCTAACAGAAGTGTGGACTTAGAAAAATACTGAGATTATCATGTTTAATTTGTTTCACTCATGAGACTTTTTTTTTATTATGCAAGTTAGAGGGTTCGATATAACTATTAGTACTACTGGGTTACACGGGATCTGAAAATTCTGATGTTTTCTTTCTCTACAGATAGGAATTTTAAAAAGAGAAAATACTATTAATCATTTATTTTCTGAGTATATAAGAATTTTATTATATATTAATAATTAAATATATACCATGCCAATCATTTTCTTCCTTCTGGAATTTAAAAAAAAATAGAGTTTGTAATGGAAAGTAGTCTTAGACTTGAGCTAGGTTTATCACAATAATTATTTATTGATGTTTTTGTTTGCTACAGGTACTTCATAAATAGGTGTGGTGGTATGTTAGAATAACTTCAGAAGACAAAGTTACTTTTTGTGATAAGAATGTATTTGTTTTCTTCCTTTTTCCTATTATCCTTAACAATGTTGTTAAATGTTCCTAATTTGATTACTCCCCCCAGTAAAGTGTGGGGAGTAACCCCCCCCAAAAAAAATGGGGGGAGTAAGACCTATTAGTAAAAAGCAATTTCCTGAGGCAATGTAAATGGTAGGGTGTTCTACCATTTGTACATAATAAACTGTATTCTTGAGGACCCCTTCTTCACTTGTAGAAATGCTAGCTAGACTTGGAGTTGCGGCTGTGCTGAGGGCAATTCCTTGAATATGAATCATGGCTCAAGAAAGTTGAGCAAGTAAAGGCTAGTCTTTGAGTGGCGTTTGAGCAGCGACTCTACCCATCTGAGCAGAGTCAAAGAGTCTCAGTTGCGGAGAAGACACAGGAGATCCAGAGGCAGCCATGTAAAGCTGCCTGAGAGTTGGGGAGTCCCGTAAGACTCCATGAGAATAAGAATTCCCCAAAGAAAAAAATGATTGAGATGGATCAAGCCAATACTAAAAAGCGACTCTTTGTCGAATAACCGCATCAGTGGGATGCGGAAATAGTAATCTCGTGAAATAGGCCTGGCTGATGTAGGGTCACGGCCTTTTTTTAACAGGCTTTGCTAAGTCAACATACCTTCTCCTTTTAAATCTGTGTTTGGGCCTGGGAACCAGGAGTAAATCTTAGACACATCCCATAGAGAGAGTTTACCTGATTTTGCTGCTTAAAAAAATATTGTCATGCGGCCGCAAACCCAGTTGACAATAGGTCTGAGTTCCCAAAAGTAAATGGGATAGTGGATGGCAATATCAGCTGTGTGCCCTGCAGTGCTGCGGACCCCTGAATGCAACACCTTCTTGTATGTTGGCATGCATTTCTTTTCTCACACGATGCCTTTTCTTTGGAAGTTTCATCACATTAGCCAGTCCTCTGGTCTTGAAGTCCTTTGGTCAGAAGGTGTTTGGTTCTTCCCCTACCCACCCCCCACCTTGACCTACTAGCCTCCCAAAGATTTAGTTTGCTTTGCATGCCTATTTTAGTTGGAATGGCAATAGTTTGGTTGTTTTGAGCATGTCTTTTAATTTTTATTTGCATAATCCTAATTTCTATTTCCTTTCTTTCCTCGATGTCTGCTGCACCTTGTTTCGCCTCCTCCATTCATCTCGACGCCATGGTTCTGCTGCTCCATAACAATGCATTATGAACCTGCCACTCCCATATGCAAACACCTACCCTTCCCTCCAACCTACACCCCTCCATCAATGGGCATCGCTGTCCCAAAAACAATCCTTGGTGGATGTCGCAATGCTTATTATCCAATTAGGGTGAAAATTCCTTCCTACAGGCGACCGTGGCAAAGTTGGGACCTCTCCCCCGAGTTCTTGCTGATATTACCAAGTCTCTGACTAATCCTACGCCAATACAACAGCAACTGAGACGCTTCACTGAGCATAACTCCAGTCCAAATGTCAGTGGAAGCCTCTCCTCTGGGCTGCAGAAAATATTTGAAGACCCCACTGACAGGTATGAGACTTGAAACTGTTGTCTCAGAGAGAGAGAATGCTTCAAGATTTGGCAGAAATCTGTTTAACTAACTTGTTGAATTTACAACCTGAAAGTCATGTTTAATTGGAAAGAATCATCTGACCTTAGATAAATCCAGTTGTTTTTCATAATAATACACAAGATTTAAGATACTTATTTTCTAGAATGATATCGTAGAGTTATAATATAGTCAACAAACATAAAAAAAAGAAAAAACTCTAGGTCCAGCTTAATGGAAGATTAAAGGCTCTATGACATTTATATTTTCATGTATTATAGCACTCAAAAATCTAGAGAACCTCTGTTAACATCATTTTGACTGTGTCAGCTGGATAGGTAGATACAATGTTGATGCTTAGACTGACTCTCTTTTTTCTGGACTGGGGAGACTTGGGCCTTGGGTAGGGACACTTTTGATTGTACACACAGCGCTGCTCCCTCCTCTGGAAGGCTTAGACAGAACCAATCAACTCTTAATTGGAATAGCTCGGGAGGGTGTAAACCCTAAGTAGGAAATGACTGGAATTCTGGTACAAATCGAAAACAATGATGGAGTGGTGTACACAGTGTTATTCCCCACCTTTGGAGAGAAACTACAAATGTTGGACTTTTTTTTTTTTTTTTAAAGATTTTATTTATTTATTTGACAGACAGAGATCACCAGCAGGCAGAGAGGCAGGCAGAGAGAGAGGGGGAAGCAGCTTTGCGTTGAGCAGAGAGTCCGATGCGGGGCTCAATCCCAGGATCCTGAGATCATGACCTGAGCCGAAGGCAGAGGCTTTAACCCACTGAGCCACCCAGGCGCCCCGAAATAGTGGATTTTTAAAGAATTGTAACAATGAAATCTGAGTTTAGAAACCAACATAAGTCTCCACATTGGGCCTGTGAGCCTTCAGGAATGTTCTTATGCCTTGGGTTGAGAAATCTTAAAACTGTTTTGAATTTGCCTCAAAGGTAATTAAGGACCCTCTTTTTCCACAGTGATTTGCATAAACTCAAATCTCCAAGCCAGGACAACACAGATAGCTATTTCAGAGGGAAGACATTACTGCTGGTTCAGCAGGCCTCCTCCCAGAGCATGACTTACTCTGAAAAGGATGAAAAGGAAAGCAGCCTTCCTAACGGCCGGAGCATCTCCCTCATGGACCTCCAGGACCCTCACGCCGCTCAGGTGGAGCACGCGTCTGTCATGCTTGACGTGCCTGTGCGCCTGACGGGAAGCCAGCTTTCCATCACGCAGGTGGCCAGCATCAAACAACTGCGGGAGACCCAGAGCACCCCCCAGAGCGCGCCCCAAGTGAGAAGGCCCCTGCACCCAGCCCTGAACCAGCCAGGCAGCCTCCAGCCCTTGTCCTTCCAGAACCCTGTCTATCACCTCAATAACCCAATTCCAGCAATGCCAAAGGCCTCTGTGGATTCCAGTTTGGAGAATCTAAGCACTGCCAGTTCCAGAAGCCAAAGTAACAGCGAGGATTTCAAACTCAGCGGGCCCAGCAATAGCAGCATGGAAGATTTCAGCAAACGCAGCACCCAGAGCGAGGACTTCTCCAGGCGGCACACCATGCCGGACAGGCACGTCCCTCTTGCTCTGCCGCGGCAGAACAGCACCGGGCAGGCCCACATCCGGAAGATGGACCAGGCTGGGTTAGGTGCCCGAGCCAAAGCCCCGCCATCCCTGCCGCACAGCGCTTCCTTACGGAGCACGGGGAGCATGTCGGTGGCATCTGCGGCGCTGGTGGCCGAGCCTGTGCAGAATGGGAGCCGGTCCCAGCAGCAGTCCTCCTCCTCCAGGGAGAGCCCCGTTCCCAAAGTGAGAGCCATCCAGAGACAGCAGACGCAGCAGGTAAGGGCGAGAGCCGGAGGGGTCTAGCTTCCACCGGTCCAGCTGTCTCCCTGGTTCTTTGTATATAAATCATTAGGAAATCTGATTTCCACTGAAAAATATTTTCTGCAACTTTGAAATGAAAAGAGGAAATGAAAAGTCTGGGAGGCTTCTGGTGAGGTGAGGCAGCAGAACGTGGCTTGACTCATTCCCGTCAGGAGACTAACAACCACGCAGAGGGCTTTTCCTTCTCTGCAGGCAGCTGAGCTGCTACCTGGGTTTGCACTGAGAACAGATCAGTGTTGAATCAATAATTAGAACACATGCACTACAAAACCTAGAGTCAGATCAACTAGAATATATTTGGGGAATCTGGACATTAATCCTCCTTAATTTTTTTTCCCCTTAAGTTTCCAGAACAAACTTCTGCTTTCTGAGCCGAGCAGTTAATGTAATCACTCTCTACTCCATCCCCCACCTCCCTCTGGACATGACAAGTCTCATGTGCCTTTTCCTGGAAATGGCTAGAAAAATAAACAACTGAACACCTACAAAGGCAAGGTAAAGGAGAGGGATAGCAAGATAGAAACATAGCTGATTGACATATATGCTAACCATTTACACATTCCTTCTATTTGCATGGGTAAGCCCAGTCACACCCAGTCTTAAGATTTCCAGACTTTTCTTCTTGATACATAAAAAATTTTCCCAAGAATTTGATTATTCATGGCTTCCCTACGTATTACATTCTGAGGCACCAATACGTGTTTTGCTTTTGGAAATGTCACACCCAGTCTTAAGATCTCCAGACTTTTCTTCTTGACACATAAAAAGTCTTCCCAAGAATTAGATTATTCATGGCTTCCCTACATATTACATTCTGAGGCACCAATATATATTTTGCTTTTGGAAACAAATTAATAACCTGAGGAGTACATGTATATGTGTATGTACACATTTAATATCTTTCATCTAAAAAAGACTTTTCTCCTTTGTATTTGCTGACCTTTTTTTGAAACCCAAGCATACTTTATAAGTACTAGGAAGCTTTGTAATGGAAAGAGTTCTATGATACGCCCTTTTGTCCGTAAAACCACTGATCAGAGGAGACTGCAATAAAACCCCAGTGTATCTTTTTAATATATTTGGTTTTTTATAGGTAGGCATTTACTAATTTGGCTGCTTCTGCCTCCATTCTGCTCTGATCAGAGGCCTTGCCCCTAGTTTGACAGTTAATGTTTTAAAAAAGAATTAGCGCACTGACAGAATTCTGGGGTGCAGAAGTAGAGGGAGAGATGAAAAGCACGACTAACCAGCTGATTCCCGAAGCCGACTTCCTGGGCAGTCACTCTTTCTGGAGAAGTTTCCGGAGAAATCCCTTCAGTCTTAAATTTCTCATTTTGATTTTGTTTATCTTTCCCCAATTCGTTCGATTTTTTTTTTTTAAGATTTATTAATTTATTTTAGAGAGAGCAAGCATGACCTGGGGGAGGGGTAGAGGGAAAGGGAGAATTCTCGAGCAGACTCCCTGCTGAGCCCAGAGTGCAACACAGGGCTCCGTCTGAGGGCCCTGAGACCCTGACCTGAGCCGAAACCAAGAGCTGGCCGCTTAACCCACTGAGCCACTCAGGCCCTCCCCCAGTTCATTCGATTTAATGAACATTTCCATTTAAAGAAAAGGAAAAAGATTATCTACAATGAAAATGCTTATGCAGAGCGCCTGGGTGCCTCAGTTGGTTAAGCGACTGCCTTCAGCTCAGGTCATGATCCCAGAGTCCCGGGATCAAGTCCCGCATTGGGCTCCCAGCTCCGTGGGGAGTCTGCTTCTCCCCCCGTCATGCTCTCTCTTTCTCTCTCTCTCGCTCTCAAATAAATAAAATCTTTAATTAAAAAAAAAGAAAGAAAATGCTTAGGCATATCTATATCTTTCATATGTATGTCATATTATGTCGTATAAGCTTAATTTGTCAGAAGGCAGTCATTTACACCTTATCAGGATCATTTCCACATGTTTATGCTAGCTTCTAGTTGAGATCAGCTATTTTCAGAGAAAGTGTTTATTGAGAGGAGAAAGGAAGGATAAGTAATTTTAGAGATGGAGTACGACATGGAGACCGACATCCACAGGGTGTGGGGGGTGTGGTCGGGGGTGGCGGGTGGCTAAGTTGGCATGGGGTCCCTGAGGACAAAGATAAGGAATAGAGAATAGTATCAGATTGCCAGAGAGGGGCAGGACAGTGGAAAGGGCCCTCCAACCTGCTTTTCCAAAAGCTGACTCAGGCCCAGCCCTGGACAGAAAAGAGGAATGCTAACCCATTCCTCTGTATCACACAGTCCTCAGTTCCCAGGGCCCATGACTCAGACTCATGGTTTATAAATACTACAAATTACATAGCCTTCTGTGTGACCATCTGGAACTGATTGTCATTTATAATATTTAGGTGTAGGAAAATGTAGCACCCATCACACAAGCAGTCAGTACATGTTTCTGGGGGTGAATAGAAGGCTGTCTGGATAGACTAGAGGCAAGAAATGCACACAGTCTCCAAACAACCAATTTAAAAATGTTTTGTGCCGCAAGCCATCGATGAATTGGGGTATTTCTGTATTACACTGGCATGAAGTGAGGCACAGACACGGTGAGATGACCTAGCACAGCTTGAAATATTCATATTTGTTTATGCCTTTGCTGGTAGTGCCACCTCATATCCGTTCCAGCATAAATCACTGTATTTTTATTGCTCAAGTTTCTGGTTTTTCTACATTGGCTTTTTCTATGCAGATGGTTTATTCTTTCAAACTTATGTTGTTATTTTTTATTCCTTATCTTCTGGTTTCTTGCTTTTCTCACTCCCATGAAGCCTCTGAATTTCTATATAATCAGCACATTTTTGGCAAATTCCTTTACATATTGTAATTGCAAATTGTGTTGGGGAATTCGTCTCTCCCCAAAACTAGAGGTTTTCTTTGTGGGGATTGTTCTGTAGGCGTTTGTAATTATTGGTGGCTTTGTCCCATGCAAATTCCATCTGTATCTTAGCACAAAGGAGTGCCCATTGTTGGCGGCATTACTGGCTTCAGTCTTCATATACGAACTGAGTAGGAAGGAAATAAAATCCTAGTTGAAACAATCTACAGAGAAGAGAGGTTTTAGGGTGTTTTTTTTTTGTTGGGTTTTTTTTGGTTGTTTTTTTTTTTTTTGGTTTGTTGTTTTCAGGAAACTGCCTTCGAATTTTTTTACCCTTTTCAGCCTTTTTTTGGATTTTCCCCCCTCATTTTCCTCTCCATTTTGTTTTTCATGTATCACGTACTATCTGTGTACAATAGACTGTATTTACAGTGTATGTGTTCAGATACAGCATGTTATGTAACCTTAAAAATTCAAATTTGAAGAGGCTTTTAAAATCAAAAATTCAAATTTGACAGTCCTGTTAGAAGGATGCAGCTTTCACGTGTGTGTGGGTCGAGCCCTCTCCTAACCAGCCTCTTCAGGAACCCTCAGAGTTGACTTCCTTAGCCAGCCCTTTCTTTGGTATTGACAGCAGAAGGGCTCTTCATTAGGAGAATTGGACTGTTTCAGACTTCGGAGAAGATGCAACCAACAAGCCTTATGTATATGTAGGAAATACTAGCAAGGAAGAGGAACTGGCCTGTTCTCCATTGTCCTCAGCATAGCCAGGCTATGACTGATGACAGGATCGGAGAAGCTGCTGTCTCAGCCCTTTTGCCCTAAAGCATTAGTATTTTTTCCAGAGAAACCCATACAGCTTTATCTCAAAGCAGAAATATCCCTCGTAGGAATTCCTACTGCTTTTCCTTCTGTCTTTTTTATCCTTCCTTTTCTTTAATGATCTACTGTTGAAAGCCAATGGGTATAAATACTCTTCCTAAGGCTATAGCTAAGCAAAATGGGATTTGAAGCACTTGCCAACCTCTTTTCCCAATCTCTTTGACTATAAACTGGAGATAATAAATTTTGCTATCTATAATAATGCCTAAATAATAACTAATTAACTACTAACGATAAAAACTTGAGATAATGATTTTTTATTTATTGATTATTATTATTAACATATAATGTATTATTTGCCCCAGGGGTACAGGTCTGTTTGCTATCTTCTCCAGCTTGTAAGGAGGTGGAACAATCATTAAAGAAAAGCCTTTGATGTACTTCCAAAGGACTAGAGGAAAAACACATAGTATCTTTCTCTTAGTAATATATTACACTTTAGTAATAAATTCTAAAGAGAACCAGAGTATTAATAAGTGAATAATATTTTATTGAGCATCTATTGTGCAATTACATTGCTACCATTCAAAAATAAACTATATAGTATGATGCCATGCATCAAGGATTGATGATCTAAATGGGAAATAAGATCAGCACATACAAAACCAATTTTTTTTTTTAAATATGGAAGAGGCAGTATATAGTTTTCTAAATAAAGAAACAACAACAACAACAAAAAACTCACGTCTAACTATTTTTTATTTGTTCAGTATTACTTTTCTGTTCTTTGTGATGTTGTAAAGGTTTTACCATGAATACCAGGAATAGTTAATAATTTTTCAGCAATTACTGGCCACCTACGATATGCCATGCAGAGTGCTTCGTTAAATTACGAAGTGATGGAAAATCAGATTCAACCAATAAAATAGGAATAGACCCAAATGGCCAATTCCATCACACAATCTCTTAAAATTCATTGGACATTGTTAGCCCTTCTGAAGATAGGGTAGCTACCACCATCACCAGTGGAATGAACCAACTCTTGTTTTTACAGCTTCTCACTTAACAGTCAAAGCCTAGATTGTACTAAGGAGTCATCATTGCTGTTTTAATATGTTTTTAGGGGCTGAGATCTCTCCTCAGTGTGTTCTTAGGAATATCTTTAGTGTGCAGTGCGTATTTAGGCACTCAGTAAATAGCTACCCCCTGACAAATCACTGGGAAAGAAAGTCCATTCACACAGCATCTTGTTAACTACATAAAGCAAAAAGCTATTGAATTAGCTGCCTTGAAGTAAGAAATTCCAAACAGTAAAGTTGTTATTAGTTTTGTACCTGCTTTATCTCAAACCGCTACTGAATAATACAAAATCCTGGTTTCACAGAAAAGCAGCTTTTCTCTGCCCAGGTGCTAAGATGATAAGATTATAAAATTTAAAAAGGGTTTGTCTCCTTTAAATATTGGCTATTAATTTTTTAAAACTCAGAACCACATTCTTTTGTCTTTCAGGTGTACATATATCAAATAAGAACCTAAAACTCTCGTAGAACTATTTTTCTCTGCCAGTGCTGAATCAGTTTATTGTGCTCTGCTTTTAGAACCCAGTAGGGGGAGAAGTGTGTGTGTGTGTGTGTGTGTGTGTGTGTGTGTGTGTGGCGGGGCGGTGGGGTTGGGGGTGATGTGTAAAGTATCCTGCCATTTATAAAATGCTTTTACATGCTGACTCATTTGTTTCTCATAATAACTTCTGATGTGGATAATTATTACCTTCCTTTATAGATGATACTCTATGCTATAGACCAGTGTTTGTAAAGTTTGATACTCAAAATTATATACATAAATAAATAAATAATAAAGTATATTCAAGATGCTTATTAATTAATCATGTAATTATTTTAACTATTAGAAAAAGATATAACTATTAATATTAAAATATATTTATAAATATATAATATATATAACCTCAAACTCATGATTGTACTGATGTTATTACTTAACATAAGGACTCAGGTAACAGGAAAAAGTTGTTTTAAAGATATAATAAATAATATATCAGGGATGATGTGGTTATGACAAAAATAATAAAGCAATACACAAATGAGTGAAGTATACAGCATACCTAGATACCAGAGTGGAGATGGAGGTAGACATTTAAGAATGGAAGATCTTGACATTTAAGCCATGTCTACATGTTTCTTGACACAGTGGAGAAAAAGGAGGAACTTCTAGAAGTCCATTAACAATTGCTTATATGTGCCTCGGGCATGATGCCACTTTTTATTGATACATATCTGTAATCTGCAAATCAGCCAAACCAGCTTCTGCTTCACACCCTTCTGTGACTTGTGTACGTGTATCTTGTAGAGTTTCTCCCAACCGGTATTTTTTATCTGGTCTTTCTAAATTGCAAAGTCATCAAAAAAAAAAAACAAAAAAAAACCCTTCTTTTAAAATAGCTATCTATAGAGAGTTTAACTGGATTCTATTTCAGAATGACATAAAGATAATCTTAAAGTAGATAGCCCTGCATGGGGGAGAAAATTCCCTCCAATTATGAGATTACACAGTGTTGGTCCTCAAAATAGAAATCTGCTTTAATTCTAAAAAGGCTAACTCAGGGACGCCTGGGAGTCTCAGTTAGTGAAGCATCTGCCTTCAGCTCAGGTCATGATCCCAGGGTCCTGGGACCAAGCCCCACATCCCTTGTCCCTCAGGCTCTCTACTCAGCAGGGAGTCTGCTTCTCCCTCTCCTTCTGCCTGCCTCTCCCCCTGCTTGCACACTCTCACTTGCACTCGGGCTCTCTCTCTATGTCTAATAAATAAATAAATATCTTTTAAAATAAATAAATAGGCTAACTCACATACAATGCTGTATTCTGTCCTTCTTTCTCACCCTCCCAGCCTCCCTCATTCTCTCTCTCTCTCACTCTCGCAAGGACACCGGAGAAAAATAATTTGTTTTATATCTCTAGCATTATTTGTAGAGAAAGCTTGTTCTTATTCAGGTTTGTTCTTGTTCTTGCTACTGAAAGCTTGTTCAGTAGCTTAATATAAATTGTAATATCCAATGCCAGTTTTCTAAACATAAATATGGTAACATGCAAGCTCTGTAGTTTCCAAAGGCCTGTCAATTACATTATCTTACTCAGTACTACAACTCTCTATGAGATACCGGGATAGGTCATGTCATTTTGGGGGCAATATTCCTAATCAGTAGATTAAGAAAAGAGTATTGAAGAGATTAAGGGACAGTTCAAGTAGCAGACCTTTTTTTTTTTTTTTTTAAGATTTTACTTATTTGAGAGAGCATGAATGGGGGGGAGAAACAGAGGGAGAAGAGACTCCCCACTGAGCAGAGAGCCCAATGTGGGGCTCGATCCCAGGACCCAGAAATCATGACCTGAGCTAAAGTCAGATGTTCAACCAACTGAGCCACCCAGGCACCCAGGGTTGCCACCTAAAGCCAGAATTTCTATCACTCTGTATGTCAGTATTGGAAAAGGACAATTTATCTGGCTATCCTAACTGGATGGAAATATCCCTTAAACTAATCCAGTATCTATTGTTTTGATCCTGTATTCATCAAGAAACTGTGTGGTCTAAGATATAGACTTCTGAGTGGTCTTCATCCATCAAGAAGTCAGCACTCTGTAAAAATGAGCAATACCACTTATTTTTCTCTTTGTCTAAATGATTAATGTGAAAATTACGGACTTGGCTTTCTGATGAATAAATGGGTATCTTGTGGGTTTGTTTAGCATTAATCAGTTTGTTGGTTCCCGATCATCTCTGGGTTACACAGCCATTTCCTCAGCTGAGCAGTCAGCCATCAAGTCAGGCCTTTACTCCCATTCTTACCATCATTGAAATTTCATTGGTAATTGGACTATTGGACTAATGAACGATTTTAAGGCCTTGGCTTTCTTTTTCTGGAAGTAGTGCATAGGCATTTCTCTTCAGAATAGTGTGTTCTTATACAAAGAGATCTTCTCATTCCTCACCCCCAGCCCTGTCTTTAATAAAATATTGCTTAGAACTGAGAATATTTATTAGATCACAGTTTTGTCCTCCAAGAATAGCTCCGTTTGTGAAACCGAGCTAGTGAGCTGTTTGGGGAGATGCTAATATGTGTTTCTGATGCAGGTACAGTCACCTGTGGACTCTGCCACAATGTCCCCAGTAGAGAGGACAGCAGCCTGGGTGCTGAACAATGGGCAGTATGAAGAGGATGTGGAAGAGACTGAGCAAAATCAAGACGAATCCAAGCATGCTGAGAAGGTAGAACTAGACTGCCTTCGTTAGCTTCCTGTCCCCACAGTGATAGGCCACCAGAAGGGTTGTCTAGCCAACAGCATGATCTCTTTCCCTCCCCAGTTTCAACTCCCATCTCTTATGTTATCCAGTACATACACATCTGTATATAACAAGTCAGTAGTGTCTCTGTGTGAAAATACGCAGAAAATGCCTGTCAGGCTGGGGTGGGAGGATTAATTTTCTTTTCATATAGGTTACCTTGAGTTGGAGACATTCTGCTATTCATTTCTATTGAGGGGGAGTATTTAGTGTTTCTATAAACTGGTGGTTAGTCTTATGACCAAGGCCAGAATTATCCTTGGACTAGACTTCCTTTCCAGATCTTGTTTAATGATTTTGTCTTTTTTTTTGGCCTTTTTCCCTTCACTGGATAAAGAACCTCTAGCTCTATGTTGACTTTTAAACAGATATTATATATATATATAATATATAGATATATACATATATATATCTGTTTTGTTTTAAAGAAAAGTTGGCATGGAGAAAAAGGATTATCAAATAAGAGGCTTGACATCATGTATGGCATTCTCTCATTTAATTAACAACCACACAGCTGGTCCTGCTAACTTATCAGCATGATTCTAAAATACGCTTACTGATGCAGTCTGCCTTTTTCAATGGTCATGAAAATCGTCATCTTTGACCTTCTGGATAGATAATGTAGTTTAGGATCATAATGTTGGGTAAGCAGAAGCTAACTGCCTGATTGTCAATTAAATGGGATATTCTGTGAAAATAGTTTGCATTTTACAAAGCACCGTACAGGTTTATTATTAATTACTCATTAATTTAAATAGACCATATACAAGAAAGCTTATGCTTCTCACCTCACCTAGAAATGTGACATTCCAATGTACTCACACCCCAGCTACTGCACTGTCAGTACAAGAAAGGACCAGGACTCTAGAAAGCTTTAGTGAGGATTCATTATATAAAGCTTTAGTGAGAAAACAGACATACGTGTTCCAGCCAACAGTACCAAATTGAGCCGATGAACCACATCATGAAAAGGGGCCAAGAGGCGGTATTCATGAGCCCTGGAGAATATGTGGGCCTTTTGCTTAGTGCTTGTGACCTGAATATTTTACAGTTGTATAGTTGGGGAGAACGCAGCAATAGCTTACTTTGCCATCAGATTCTGTCTATTGATTTAGTAGTGTAACATTATAGAAGTGTTGCTTGTTCTCTAAAGGGCTGATTCTAGTAGAATGAAGGAATGAGAGTCTGATGAGCCAGGATGTGTCAGAGGTCCTCCAGTACAGGTGATGACACAGTAATCTTTTCCCTGGTAGACAACTGGCTTTTGGCTTTCTTTAAGTGATTTGACAAGCTTCTGAGTACTTGATCTTTTTTTTTTCCCCCTGCCCACATTTGATACAGATTGGATGTAGTTTGTAGCAACTGGTAGTTAATTTGGAAAGAGATACATAAATATATAGATTGAAAATGCCAGTGCAGATTAAAAATGTGATTTTGGGGGAGGGAGGACAGAGCTCCTTTACCATTTATGGTTTCTGGTCATTTTTAAGAATATTAGCAGCACATGGAATGGCCGCTCAGACAGAATCCAACCACCTCGATTTCGAAAACCACCGTAACTCCAGCGCCCGCCCCCCCCAATCCCGCTCCTTGTTTTTGATGCCTCTCTTCTGCTCTAGTACGAGCAGGAAATTACGAAGCTGAAGGAGCGCCTGCGCGTGTCCAGCCGGCGGCTGGAGGAGTATGAACGCCGCTTGCTGGTACAGGAGCAGCAGATGCAGAAGCTGCTCCTGGAGTACAAGGCCAGGCTGGAGGACAGTGAGGAGCGCCTGCGCAGGCAGCAGGAGGAGAAGGACAGCCAGATGAAGAGCATCATCAGCAGGTCAGACCGCCTGCCAGTTGGGGGTGTGGGCCAGCTGGGGGCACAGGGAGATCAGAGGATGAGCCGGAGAATCCTGAAGTCACGGCAGCCGAAGCCGCTTCAGTTCTGCATATGCTCTGTGGGACTCCCTACGGATGTGATGCAGGACCATATCGCTTAACGTTTTCCAGATATGAGACTTACCAGCCTTCTTTTGAAGACCCAAGTAGTCTTCCATCATAATAATTAGAAAAAAAATGGAAACGTAGAAACTCACTTGCAAGGTCTTAGTTTTTAACGTCCAGGGGACACTTAGGTCTTTGTGAGTCTAGAAGGGCAGCATCATTGGATATCTTTAGGGCCAGAGAACTAAGAGACAGAGAGAGCCAAGATGTCCCGAGAGTCTGCTGGAGGGCTCAGTTGTTCCAGACACTTAAACAGCACCCACCATAGGCCAGGCACTTTGTTAAGCACTTCACAATTGGTTTGATCTGTTAATGAAGATGTGTTTAATGCCAACCTCTGAGGCAGGCATTGTTCTTATTTTACAAATAAAGAAATGGGCTCCAAATCCATGAAGTCACCTGCCCGAGGTCACTTCGAGTGGGGCAGCCAGGACTTCAAGCCAGAAAGTCAGGCTCCAGAGCCCAGGCTCGTAACCACTGTGCTTCCCTCTTGTCAAATGCTACCGAGGGGTCAAGCAAAATGAAGACAGAAAAGGTTTGTTGTTTCAGAAACATGGAGGCAATTAGCAGTCTTTGAGCTGTTTCATGGAGTCGAAAGTCCATGGGTTAAGATGCAGGTGGCGCCTGAGAGAGAAAGTAGGCCGACTAAGCGTAGCACACTCTGAGAAACTTAGCTGTGCAAGGAGAGAAGGGATAGCTTGTCACCAGGAAACTTGAGAGTAAGAAGGGGTTGTTTGTTTGCTTCTGATTGGTTTGATAGTTTGTGATGAAATAAGCTCTGCCCGGGCTGGGGAAGGATCTGACAGAGGAGAGGGAGGAAATGATTTTGGGGACCCTGACCCAGAGGAGATGAAAATGCGTGGGGTCCGGTCACTGGCCAAGAGGTCAGCCTTGGATGTCTCCTTTCGAGGTGGGAGAGAAGAAAGCAAGCATGATTACGGACCTCTCGTTGGAGAGGAGTGGCAATCTGAACTCTGCTGAGTTTGGGTATCTATCTTGTCCCCTATGTCAGCTGGCTCTCTTTGACATTCTCGATGTCTCCTTGCTGCCACGTTCTAGGCTGATGGCTGTGGAAGAGGAACTGAAGAAGGATCACGCTGAGATGCAAGCAGTTATTGATGCAAAGCAAAAAATAATTGATGCACAGGTGAGCAGGCCTTGAATCTAGTAGGAAGCACTTGTTTGTAATGACTGTTAAATTTCCTGACTTCCAGCCCTTTGGAAATGCCAAGGCATGTACTGCAAAAATGGGTCATTGGAAAGTTCTCAGCATTACCTTTTGAAGATTAAAAGAGTTTCTATGTGACCTGCATTACTTTTCCTTTCTTTGACTGGTGACAAGTCTGTTAACCCAGCAAAGTATTAGCGTGCTTAGGGCAGTTGCTTGACAAATCTTAGCCTACTGCATGATGGGGTTTCCTTCTTTCCTCATGGAAAGGAGGGCGTTCTCTAAGGGGGTGACTGTGAGAAGCACACCGCATGTGTCTGGCTTGTGACCTCCACTGACCATCGCTTGGCTGTGATGTTCACGGTCTTGTTAGTCACGTCCACTGTGCCATCGACCTCGAGCCCCACATATGAGTGGAACTGGAGGGGAAAGACAGGGCTGTGGCAGGTACCTTTTCTTGCAATTCTTCTGGTGCAGGGTTTGGCAGTGATGCTTGGGACTTGCTTGGCTGCCCTCCTTTGTCAGTGCTGTGCTTAGAGAGCCTCTCAGTCTTGATGAAATCAGAACCTGGGCCTCTGCTCACTCTAGCTTATACCCACAGCACTAATGGTGCAATGACTGCCAAGAACACCTCACAGGGCACATCAGTGATGCGAGCCAAATCCAGGAGAGGAGGAAACATTGCTGATTTGGTTTCATTTTATCATTGCTAAATATGGTTGTATTGCTTAGAGTGAAACAAAGAACAAAAGGCAGGGGCAGTTTTGATTGTGGCTGCTCTAGCCTCCGAATATATCCCCTTCCTGGAGACAGCCAACCCTCATGGGTTTGCATGTGTCACCCTCAAGACCTTATCATATCCCCAAGCTATGGAATAAAAATGGGAGCAAGGACTTTATGTTCTACTCTCTTCTCTGCATAGGGGACTATCCATGTCGGAGCCCCCGGGACTATTAAGCATGCACTTAACACCTGCGGTCTGGTTTCCTGACAGGGTTTAATGGGGGATGGGATTTATCTTTCAAAGGAGTTAGGAGGGAAGCTGAAGGCAGAACCATGGAAGGAGGCTTCCTGGGTCCCATGTTCCACAGATACCCCCAGCCTATAGGCCAGTGTGAGCTGTGACGCTCTCATCAGCGTAGCTCCTAGAATACTTGGGACTCTGTAGTTTCTGGATATTTGGACCTCATAAGAATCAGAAGAAAGGTTTGCTGTAATTATCCGACTTGGTCCTTTTTTTAAACCTTTCTGGGTGTCCCCAAGGTGGGTGAGGGAGAGTTGGTAGAGACAAGGCCATCCTGCCATACATACTATAAAAATTCATCCCACAGTCTTCAGAGAAACAACCTGGATACAGAAAGCAATTAAGTCAGAAAAACCAATGTTAGTAAGTTTTTACTTCCAGATTTTCAGTGTGACAAAATAATACAGAGAGAGTCCTCTTGATAATCACACCAGGAGAGATTTTTGGTTCTGATGAGATAAAACAGACCATTTTCATAATTCCAGCTGGTCGAAAACTATGCCCATCTTAAGCAGAGGAAGCTTGGGTGTGTCACAGTCGTGGCTCTGTGCACAGAGCTTTCCCTCTTCTGGCTGCCTGTCAGCACATCCTCAGGAGCTTCTGACAATTTCTACCCACTCCTGTCCCCTGTCTTGACATCGGGGGCAAGATGACTGGGTGCGAAACAGGATTCAGGCGTGGACAGTGAACACAAGAAGGGAGTAGGATCGATCAGGCCTCAAAAGCTCTGGAAAGTAAGGACTTTCTCTCAGTAAACCAGGAGGTCGTTGTTGTTCAGGGACGGGTGAACTGTGATCCTCAGAGCATCAGTCAGCGTCCACTTGTGGTCTGGCTAAACTAGATATTTTGGGTCCATACCTCAAGGCAGTGGTTTTCAAATGCTTTGATTACATGGACTATTTTGGTCAAACCAATGGGACCTTCCGTAGATGACATTCCAACTGCTCGGACTGAGCACCACCAGCAAGGGCCACTTTCAGCTCATGGATGAAAGCCCACTGAGGTTGGCTAAATATAGTAAATCACTTTGTCAAACACAGGCATTACTGTGCAGTAAGCCCACCATGGGTCCCTGAAGAATACTTGGAGAATTCACTGGACCACATTTTGAAAAACAAGTTCCCATATATAGCACAGATCATAAGCACTAAAACAAATTAAAAAATAATAATAACCTCCAATTCTAGCTGTTGTCTTACTGATACATTAAAGTCTTATTATAGCAAAAGACTTCAAACATCTTTGGGCAACTTTTGTAATGAATGACCTTCTATATCAGACCCTCTCCTCTGTCGGAATAAATCTTACATCACGAGTGTCTGATGGAGCAGAGCAGCCCTTTGGCATCATTTACTAGAACGCACCATGTTTGGGGTGAAGCCTTCCCAGGGAGGTAGCCCATACTTTGAGGTCCCCGCCATCTTCCTTGGTGCCCCTGGTAGTGGAAAATATTTCTGAAGTGAATCCGGTTGCTTTCCTTATATTCGAGCTGAGCCCAGCATTTCCCAAAGCTCTAAAGGCCTGGTGCCCAGTGAACTGCATCAGCAGCCCTGCTCGCCTCTGGGCAAGGCTTGTCGCTGAGGCCAGCCCGTCCTTCTCCTGGAGTTTATGTCGTGAGGCCCGGCCTGGCCCAGCTGCCTTCCAACTGGCCCTGCAGGGAGGTGAGCACTCCACCGGCCAGGACAGAACCAGCTTAGACCTTGTAGACCATGGGGATCCTGGTGATGGAACTAAGGGGACCATTTCTGGAGCATCAGACGAGGGACTGTGCCACTTTCACCCCCCAGGATCCCTCCATGTGACTCAGATGGAGAACAGAGAAGGGCTTCCTCCTCTGAGAAGCAAGCAGCTGCCTAGTTACTGTTGCAAGTGACATCTCCGCTGTGTTAAATTACAGGTCATAAATGGAGATGAGATTATTCAAACAGGCAAGTAAACCCGGTCCGTTCTCTAGCTGAGCAGTTCCCAGCCCTGGCCCAGGACACTGGCCTCCTACCCATTCCAGCTCCTGCACTCCCCACACTGGAAATCCCTTTGGATGGGGATTGCTTTGCCTTCCAACCCAGGCGGAATCAAAATGTCAGAGCATCTTCTGCCAACTAACTTGACTTTCAAAAGTCCCTGTTTGATTATTTTTCTTTCACTTTTTGTTTTATTTTGAGACGTTGGCAGTGGGGGGAATTACAAAAGGGGATTTGTCCACTTGGAAACTTCTGGCTGTTCAGCCGGGGGGTTATTTGGCTTCAGCTGGAACTCTCATAGGAAATAAATAATTGTAATCATTCTTTGCCTCTTTTTTTGACCCTTTAAGAATCAAATAATTTTTTACGAATGCCTTAAAAATTAAAAAATTTGGGGGGGGGTAAACCTGAAGAATCCTACTTTCCTTCATATTGGGGCCTTATAATTTATCCTAATCCTGAAATTTCTTTTTAAATCATTTCAGGATATTACCAGTTATTCTCTTCAGAGGCCATTCTTTTTCTTTTTTCTTTCTTTTTTTTTTTTAAGATTTTATTTATTTCACAGAGAGATCACAAGTAGACAGGGAGGCAGGCAGAAGAGGAGGGGGAAGCAGGCCCCCTGCTGAACAGAGAGCCCGATGCAGGACTCGAAAGATCTAGACTTGTTATCCCAATAAACTCCATTAGCTATGATTTTTTTGAATTACATTTTTTAAGCCTCACAGATCTTTCTTTCATTGAGTTTTGCATATCCCTAACATGAGCTACCCTCCCAAAATAAAAAGCATCTTATACTAGATGAATGCTTACCTAATAATGCTGACTTTATGTATCTTACTACTTAAGACCTCCATCAGAGAAAAGGAGGACATTTTTTTTTTTTACGATTTTTTATTCAGTAGGCAGAGAGGTAGGCAGATAGAAATGGGGAAGCAGGCTCCCCACTGAGCAGAGAACCCAACGTGGGGCTCGATCCCAGGACCCTGAGATCATGACCTGAGCCGAAGGCAAAGGCTTAACCCTCTGAGCCACCCAGGTGCCCCAGGAGGACATTTTTTTAATGCTAGGAATGGCATTAAACCCCTAGCCCGGCTGCCCTGCCCCACCCCCAGAGTAGGAGATTAAAGGGGAGCATTACTTGATGCTATTGTCCATATGCTTTTGCCTCCAGCATTCCCCAGGGCAGTGGAGGGCAGTGGTCCTCCCTCCTGGCAGCTCAGTGCTGAGAGCACCCTGGCATGGCCCTGGGGAGCTGCTGCCCGCTAGCAAGGAGCAGCATCCAACCCTTAGCCCCTCCTGTCCTCTCGGCACCTTGCCGTGACCCACCTTACCACACTTTTCCTGGAGTAAAGTCAGACACTCCAGGGGAGGAAAGCTCCTCTTGGCTTTGGGGGTTGTTCCTCAAGTTTTTTCTTATTAATTTCATGGACCCTTCTCAGCATAAGCCTCTTTTCTGAAAAGTGACAACTTTATGTTGGATAGGTTCTGGAATGATCTCCCTACCTGCTGAAACTAAGATTAGGGTTTCTCTCCTAATCTTTGTGAGACTGATAATATTTTGATGGGATGATTTTTTTTTTCTTATACTTAGATGAGCCTACTTTCCTTTAGATTGCCATATTTTGGTTGGGGTGGTGGCCCTTTTTCCTCTTGGGTTTTTTTTTTTTCGTGCATGTGTATTCAACGTTTGGTTCCAAAAATTGGTCCTAAAGCATTTTTTTCCCCCCAGAGACTCAAAAGTAAAATGAAAGCAATCTCCTTACTGGGTAGCTTTCCTGGAGTAACTCTGAGCTGGAATGAGTCGAGGAGCTTGTGTTCTCTGTTTGTTTCCATGTGTTATGTTCATGGCGCCCCCCTTCGGCCACATCTCCCTTCCCATATTCAAATGACCCCTTGGTCTGAGCTTCTGGCTGCTTTTCCCCTCTTGCTGTTGCATCCTCACTTTGTTGGTGACTAGAAACTGCCACCATGTATTGTTGTAATTTTGAGCACAGTGTGAATTCTCTTCAAATGTGACTGATGGGCCCTCTTGAGGGGCCAAGAACCCATAGAGCACATGCACTTCTCCTCTGTGAAATGAAACCTCTGGTGCTTCTTTCTTTGCCACCTAATGTCTATGTTTTAATTTTGACCCAAAGCACTTAATCCCATAAGGCAGCTTGACACCCCTGTTGCACAGTCAGAAGTAATACCTGGTGTCTCGTTCACATCATCCTCGCGTCCCAAGGGGTTATCAATAACCAGTCCTGCTGTGCTGCAAGGAAAAAAGGGAGAGAAAAGAAACACAGACCCACTGGGCTCAGGGAAGCCGAACCTGAGTAGGGTGCAGAAAGAGGCAGAGACGTTCCATTTGTCTGGGAAGCATCATGTGTGCCGCTGTTTGGTAGAAAGCACTAGAACAGTCCTCCAGCAGAGCATTACCATGGGGTTTCCCGCACGTGGCTCGAATAAAGCCCCGGTTGGTGTGTTGCAGGAAAAGCGGATCGTGTCGCTGGATTCGGCCAACACCCGACTGATGAGCGCGCTGACGCAGGTGAAGGAGCGCTACAGCATGCAGGTCCGCAATGGCCTCTCCCCCACCAACCCCACCAAGCTTTCCATCACGGAGAATGGTGAATTCAAAAACAGCAGCTGCTGACGGCCTTGGTGAACACACAGACTGTGGGAGGAGACAGAAGGAAATGTCCCCGCTCTCCTGGCCCCAGCCCTCTCCCCGACCCCCCAGGTTTACAGAATGTTGCTACTTCTGAACAGTAGAGTGGCGAGACACTCTCGAGTGAAGAAAGGAACCTTGTCTTTCAGGGCATAAGGCTGAGACTTCCAAGGTCGATGCTTTTCCCCCATGTCTCTATGTACATAGGGAACTTAGTTCTGGGCCATGTACAGAAAAGACCACTGTAATATACCCAAAGGAAGTGAATAATGTAGAATACCTTTTTAATTATTACTATTTTTATTATTGTTTTCCTCTTGTTGAAAGCACTGCGGTTGTTAGAGGAGGAAAAAGTAGGAACGAGGTGTGAGTGAGCGATGAGCCCGCGGGCTCGGTAGGTAGAGACCAAGGGTCTGTCGGATAGAAGCACGTGGAGTGCAATAGGACATCGTCAGAATGAATTGTTCAGGGATTCATCTGCCGGTCTAAAACCCCACTCTGGCCCCCTTGTCCTGTAGGAGAACGTACAAATACCAAGAACCAACCAAAACAGTTGATCCCACTGATCAACCAAGACTGGTTCGGGATGGACAGCTAATCCGATTTGGGGATACACTGTTTCCGAAGACACAGATAAGAGCTGTTGCATCAAAACTGGACTTTAGCAGTGGTTTCCATCGAACTCCTGTTGATGTCTATTTCCTTCTGTCTACAGCAGATGGGAATTTTCCATTTTAGATAGGGGGCTTTTTTTAACCCCAGTTGTAATAAAGGGTGTTCTTTTTCCTCTTTAGAGTTTACAGAACTATAAATATTTGTGTCTCTGCATACCATCTTCATCTTCACATACCCACTGCCCTTTCCTCCCCCACAGCGGGAGCAGTCTTCACCAACAGGGTTCACTCTCCTCTGGAGAGGTTGTTCAAATATGCTGTCCATAAGCCATCCAGAATAAACACCCTTTCTTCCACACAGAAAAGGGCTAACCCTACCATAGCAGGAATCTCTGAATATTTCCTATTTAAAAAAAAAAAAAAAAAAACTTTTCTATTTGTAACTTACAATTTTTGTTTGGGATAAAGATTTTATCCACTGTACTAGCAAATCTCTGGGCAGGGTAATTTTAACTCAGTCTTTAGCTTTGAAATGGCTTCTAATTCCCTCACTAAAATTTGGAAAGGAAATCCGGATCCAAAGTATGGCTCTCTTAAAAGTCATGATTCTGCGTATAAACAAAGAAAACTAAAAGTGCAAGGACCATGCGTTTCAGTTGTTACTCCCATGCTCTTCGTAGATTTGGCAATAATGACTCTGTTTCACCAACTGTCATCCTTGGCTTTATTGTAGGACAGAAACAGTCATGGAAGCTAGTTTACTACCTTTTTTCCAGAGGTGTGAAGTGTCATCTTGAATGCAAACCTGATTATCAGAAGTATGGAATGTTACGTGTTAAAACAGACATTATATATACAAATATATATACATATATACTCACACATATGTACATATAACTGCACAGATAGGACAAGTTCATGCCTTCTCTGCTGTCAGATATAATGTTAAAAGGGTTTTGAATCTCTTTAAGCAAGATCTAAGCAGTTCTTTATCCTGAAAAAGCAACAACGTATCTCAAAAAAGTTAAGGATGTTTATTTTAAATTATAAACTTTAAGGAAATTTAAAAAAAAAAAAAAAAAGGAAAAGGAAAGGGGAGATGGGGAAAACAAAAACAGAGACCCAAGGGAGCCCTATGCACAGAGTGAGTGTTTCTACATAAGACATTTCTCACGGTGCCCCGGGCTGGTGCTCGGACCTCCTGAGCCTGGCTTCTCCCAGGTGGATCTCTGTGTTGGACCTTGCATCTCAGCAGCCTCCCCAAAGCCCCCACCCCACAACCTTTTAAAACATTTCCCTTCCTAATCTCATTTCTGCCAGTCAGAACTGTAAATTGGGCGGCTCATCCAGCTTATCTGATCTACAGTTTTCGTGCCCTCAGATTTTGGCACTTGGTTAATTTCTTGACCCCCTGGTAGTTGTTTTACAAATTCTTGACTCCTCCCTCAAAGTTTAGGGTGCACTGTGGTCAAAACCCCTTCTTTGAATAGGAAACCCACCTTACTAATTCTGAAGGTGTGCCCTGTGTTGGCTGGGGGGTGTGAACACAGGTGTCCTCATTTAAAGCTATTCTCATTTATTGGGGGTTGAGGGAGACAGAAAAAACCAAATGTGCTTGTGATGGCTGGATGGCTGCCTAGATCTTGTTGGCATTGTGGGAGCCCCTCAGATGCAGCCCTCTCTTACCAGGTTATCTCGAATGAAAAGAGTAAAAAAAAAAAAAAAAAAAAAAGAAATCAAATTAGAAGTCAGCTAGAAGTTCAGATCTGTTGCCAGATGTTACGTTTTAGATTATCCTTTGAGCCTGTTCCTATCCAAACATTTTTCTGAGAATTTCTTGAGAGAAGCTGCCATCTGTAGAACTTACTCTAAAAGATTTTTAAGTCTGGAAGACTGCAGCAAACAGCTGACAGTTTTTATGGAGTTATTGCTTAATTTGGCTTTTCTTCAGCCCAAAGAACTACATCCGGATGTTCTGCGGGGAGGAGGGCATGGTCGAGGAGAGGCGGGCAGGTTGAGATCACCGTGGCCGCGCTCCTCCTCCAGGCACACATCACGATGCGGGCTGCAGCCTGGACCGCAGTCCAGTGGCATCTGAGGTTCAGGTGAAGTGTTTGAGAAGTGCTTGTCTAAGCTGACCGCCAGACTTGGCTGTTGACAAGGACAATGTGCGTAGGATTTAGGAGTTCAGGAAAGCCCTTTTTGTACTCCCTTTTTATATAACTGGAGCAACAGGCTTTCTGGGCCGGAGCAGCAGAAAGAGTGACATTTCCACCAGGTCCTGCTGTTCCCCAAGTCTCTGCAACATAAGCCGAGACACAGGAGTTGACATCTAGGTAACTAGAACAGACACCTGAGCGCCCACCATGCCCCAGGCGCACTCACCGAGGTGCCGTTGGAGTCCAGGGCAGCCCATTTGTGAGGAGAATGTGGTAAAATGAGCTCATCATGCTGTCGTCGCTGTTTCTTGTCTTCACTGGGTATCGAGTTGGTCACAAGTTGCTCTCTCTGGTCTGCTGCCACCTGTCCCTGTGATGGTGTTGGACAGTGAAAGAGCAGGAGTTTCTGCCTCTGACTGCTGTATGACCTTGAGAATTTGCTGGACTTAAAGTTTTCCAGATCTTGGCCGACCTCAGCCTTTGTTCACAGAGCTGTGGTTCTTTCAGCCCCTGACTCTCACACTGTCCTCAGAGGTGCCCCAGGGGCAGAGCAGGTTCTTATCGGACGTCCCAGGACAAGACTGTGATCATGGAGTGAGTTTGCATTCGTATTTGCTTTGCCTTGCACCTGGATTGCGTGCTGGTTAGCTCCAGTTCGAGTTCCTGAGAAAGCTGAACTTGGGGAAGGAACCTCCTTTGGGATTACCTAAGTCCCATGTGACCTGGAGCTGAGGCTGGTCACCAGACTAGACTTATCGCTGGGCCACAGCCTCAGTTTATTGTCAGCTGTACCCACAGGGGCCACCTTCTCCTACAGATTGTGGAACCAAAAGGGCCTTCTCCATTCCCCTTCCCCTTCTCAAGTCACGTGTGAAATCACCTGCTTGCCCCAGCAGTCAATAGTTGCCTTCCCTCCCATTACCTGAGGGCCAAGAATTTGGGATACTTTGTTTTTATCAGTGTGTCAACTGGAAGACTTATTTTACTAGTCTATTAAAGGCAAGATATGGTGGGGTGTTGAATTTTTAAATAGAATCTCTTTCCATGTTCAAGTGATTATTATTAGTTCTAGAAGCATTCTCTTGTTGTCATGACCCAGTTATGAATTCTCTTGAGTTTAGAAAGGACAAAATTGATGAAATTTGCATGAGACAGAATAAATATCTTATGAGGAGTGAAAGAACGTGAGGAAGATCCATGATCCAAAAGGGGACTGATGGACGGCAGCCTTCTCAGTAGCGCAAAGGTTCAAGGAAACAGGATTTATATATCCTTTGCCTGATCTTAAAATACACAGATGAGTGGAAAGGCAACATGCACAGCCACACAAAACACACAATTTCTAGGGCTTCCTTTTTCTGAATGTTAGTCCATCTTACAGAACAGCAATCCCCAGACTTTCTTGAGTTTTTAGGTTTTGTGCTCTCATTTGTTAGACGTTATGACTGTGGTTCATTCCTCTTTAAAATGTACCATATGTGTTATATGTATATATGTTAAAGTGACTTGAAATTGATTTGGTCTGACATTTGGTCTCAAGATTCCTAGCTATCGTCATTGATACCATGCGGGTCATAAAAAGAAAGCTGAATATCACTGATCTGAGAGCAGGTTCCAGAAAGAAGGAGCTTTGGTTCCTGGTCAGTTGATCCTCAGGTGTTTGAGAAACCAAGCCCGCAGGACAGTGGCAAGACAGCGAGCCACCCCAGGAGAGCAAAGGGGTTGTTCTGCCCCTGGCTCAGCCTGCATTCGTATTTCCTACTGCTTTCTTCTTTTTCATTCAAATACCCTCATGTTCTACTAGGAAATGTTTTCATTTGGGACCTAAAATCAGATTTATCTGTATTTGTAGAAAGATTTCCACAGAAGCGATGTTTTAGGAGCCTCCAACATCCATGGGAGGGTTTCAAATGTTCATGTATAAATATCATATTTATGTCATTTCTAAACTCAGTTCCCAGTTCGCCAAAAGGTTAAAATATTATTGACTCAATGACCACTATCCTGCAGAAAAGTGGAAATAAATAGTAAAGGTTAAATTTTGACTGGTGCTTAGATATTTCCTAGTAACATTAGAATTAACCCAAGCAGACAGCAGCACACTAACCCGAGTCACACTTGTGAGGAATTTACCTTCTAAATTTGATTCTGTTTTTCATCTCCAGGGCCTTAATAAGAATGTGTTAGTGCACATGACTATTTTACAATGATAACTCTAAATAATTTATTTTTTATTTCAAGAAAGAGAAATACACCTTAGAAAAACAAAACCCAAGATTTTATTTTATTTTTAAAGCCATATTTTTGTGCTGGTAGCACTTAGATTGTTCCATACGTGAGATCCATATCTACATTTCATTACCTGGGTTTGTCCTAAAGAAGATTTATTTTTGTTCTGTGAATAATTTTTGATGGTTCTTGTACATGTACAGATATAGATACGTTTGAGGTCTTTTATTGATATTCCTACAAAGAATACAAATAAACTTTAACTTTAAACATTTCAGACTAAAGTTGCTACTGTATTTCACATAATTACCACCTTACTTCTATCCTGTATCTGGGTGAGTAGAACACTTGGAGAAAAACCAGAAAGGAAATGTATGCAGGAACATTCTTCTGAGGTCATGTATTTTTTTTTTCTTAAGTTATAGTTTAACATTAAGAACAATGTGTCACAGAATTTCCCAATTGACAAGTAAAAAATATTTACACACAGTAAGACAAATAGCTTGCATTAATAATGTTGTATTGTGATGAGGCCCACAGAGAGCTCCTCATTCTGGAGAACTTAACATCTCTTCAGTAGCTCGTGGCTCTGAAGGAAAGGGTCCTCCATGTCCTTTGCCAGCGTGGCCTCACTTCGCTTCCCGGCCCACTACTGTCCCCTCCCAATTCCCCAGGTAGATTAATGGGGTTTGTTTCAGGATTTTTGTCGCTTTGTTGGGGTTTTTTGTTCTTGTTTGCTTGTCATTCTCCAGGTTACTGTCCCCAAATGCTTCCATCTGCTTCTGCTTCCCTATTTTATCCTATAAAATCCAGGGGGACCAGTTTTTTTTTTTTTCTCCTAGGTAGTCTCTTGTGTGTGAGATGTGGTTCTGAAATTCTACCAGTTAGCCTCCCCATATAGCTGGAGTTATTTCTAAAAGCCTGGGACAGATAGATGTATTGTCTGACCTACTAGGAATGAAAATTTTGCCCTCAGAATCCAGAGAAGATTATGCGAGAACAGACTCCAGATCAGTCCACGTGGGCTAGTCTTTGT